GCGCCGCCGCGTGCCTCGCCTACGGCTCGTCGACGACGGAGACGCGCTGCTCGACGAGCGTCCTGTCCCTGCTCACGGAGATCAACACGAAACTCACGGCGCTCCAGAGCGTGCTCGGCGTCGCCGAGGAGCCCACGGAGGTCGTCATGTTCACGTCCGAGTCCGTCAACGAGGGCCACCCCGACAAGCTCGCGGACCAGGTGAGCGACGCCATCGTCGACGCCTGCTTCGCCCAGGACCCGACGTCCCGCGTCGCCTGCGAGACGTGCACGGGCACGGGGTTCGTCATGATCTTCGGGGAGATCACGACGGACGCGCAGTTCGACTACGAGGCCGTCGTCCGGGAGACGATCAAGGGCATCGGCTTCGACGCGCCGGAGAAGGGCCTGGACTACAAGACGTGCCTCGTCATGAACCGCCTCCACGCCCAGTCGCCGGAGATCGGCAACGCCGTCGGCAAGGACCGCGCGGCGACGCCGCCCGAGGAGATCGGCGCGGGCGACCAGGGCCACATGTTCGGCTACGCGACGGACGAGACGCCGGAGCTCATGCCCCTGACCCACTCGCTAGCCACGGGCCTCGGCTACCAGCTCACGGTCGTGCGCAAGAACGGCACGCTGCCCCTCCTCCGCCCGGACGGCAAGACGCAGGTGACCATCGAGTACGAGAAGAAGGGCGGCTTCCTCAAGCCCCTGCGCGTGCACACGATCGTCATCTCGACGCAGCACGACCCGGCCTACACGCAGGCCCAGCTCAAGGCGGACCTCATGGAGCACGTCATCAAGCCCCTCGTGCCGCCGGACATGCTCGACGACAAGACGATCTACCACATCAACCCGTCGGGCCTCTTCACCATCGGCGGGCCCGAGGGCGACGGCGGCCTCACGGGCCGCAAGATCATCATCGACACCTACGGCGGCTGGGGCGCCCACGGCGGCGGCGCGTTCTCGGGCAAGGACCCGACGAAGGTCGACCGGTCCGCGGCCTACTACTGCCGCTGGATCGCCAAGTCCGTCGTCGCCGCGGGGCTCGCGAGCCGCGCCATCGTCCAGGTCTCCTACGCCATCGGCGTCGCCGAGCCCCTCTCCGTCTTCGTCGACACCTACGGCACGGGCACGAAGCCCGACCCGGAGATCCTCAAGATCATCCACGACAACTTCGACATGCGCGCGGGCATGCTCGTCCGCGAGCTCGACATGCTCAAGCCCAAGTACAAGAAGACGGCGGCCTACGGCCACTTCGGCAACTGCGCCCGCGGCAACGACCCGGACTTCACCTGGGAGGTGCCCAAGAAGCTCAAGTACTAGGCCGCCGACCCGGGTTGGGGCGCCGTCCCCGCCGCGCCGCCCTCGCTTCGTTCCCCCCGCCCGCGCGCGCGACCACGCGCCCGCGCCCCCGCGTACGAGCCTAAGGTCCTACGCGGCGCCGTCGCCGTCGCCGAAGAGCGGGCTCCGCGCGAAGAGCGCGTTCCTAGCGAGCTTTTCGACGTCGTCACGACGCGGCGTCGCGTGGCCCCGCCGGTGGCCGTACTTCCAGTCGCTCGCCTCCGTGTCCGACTCGAGGGCCTCCTCCTCCTCGCTCTCGAAGCCGAGGCGGTAGTCGTCGTCGGGCGACGGCGGCCTCCGCGCCCGGCGCCGCGCGGACGCCTCGACGCGCTTCCGCCGCAGCTCCCGTTCCGAGTCCGACGTCGACGTAGTGCTCGTCGACGAGATCGACGCGCCGCGCTGCTTGGCCGAGCCCCACGCGGGCGCGCGCTCGCGCTCGTCGACGAATTTCACCGGAGGCAGTTTCGGGACGCTCGCGGACCACCCGAGCGGATCGTCGTCCCGCGCGCGCTCCGGCGACTGGGGCGGCGTGATGAGCGAGGGCCGCTCGGGCGGCAACGTCGTGAGCGAGTCTTTCAGCAGCAGCCGCGGGCGGAACGCTTCGCGCGGCGCGCTCGGCGTCACGGCTTCGGAATACATCCTCGCGACGGACGCGCGCGAGATCCAGGTTCGCGTACGGTCCTCGTTGTCGTCCGCGTCGTGGTGCTCGGTCACCGAGCCCCACTTGACGCCCGAGGGATGGCGAGCGCGCCGCGGCGAAACTATCGAGGCATCGGTGACGAATTCGTCGAGGGGAAACTCGATGTCATCCAGCTCTTCGCCGAAGCGCTCGTGAAGACTGCGCGTCGCGCCCATGGCGTGGTGCCTAGGGGCAATCGGTTGGAGCGCTGAGCGCTTAAACGGGCGACCGATGGCGCATCAACAACTTGACAGCAGGCCGAATCGTGAAGATCACAAATTCTGCTCGACCGAGAGGTCGCGCCGTGCACGTCCTACTCGTACGTGGCACCTCTAAAGGCTCTCTAATTACGCCCTCCTCGCCTTCGCCGGTTCAGCCGGCGCGTTCGAAGGTCCGGTGCTCGTTCCAGTGCGTCGACTGGACCTCCTTGATGACGGGGTTCGCCCGCCAGAGCGCGCGGTACGCGGCGGCGGCCGCGCGGACGTCGGCGTCGTCGTGGGCGACGATGTCCGTCACGGACGTGAAGGGCGTGAGCATGACGCGCGTGGGCTTGACGTCGGACTCGTCGTCGACGTAGGCGCAGTAGATGCGCGTGCCCGTGACCGCGCCGCCGAGCGCGAGGACGACCGTGTTGTCGCGGAGGCGGAGGCGCATGCCCAAATGGACAACGAAGCGCTTGGGCAGGTAGGAGAGCTGGGGCGCGAGCGGGTAGCTCCCCCGGCCGGGGTCGCCGAGCTGGTACTTCGCGGGGTCCATGTGGAGCACGTAGGCCCGGCGCCGCGACACGGGCAGCTCCGCGACGATGGCCTCCAAGTCCTCGAGCGACGCCGCCGTCGCGAGCGGGCTGCGCGGGTCGAGCTCGTAGTCCGTGGCCTCGCCGCGCGGCGGCATCATGCCCGACGTGGCGACGGCCTCGAGGTGGGCCGCGGCGTCCCGCGCCCAGACGCACTGGGAGTCGAAGGGCCCGCGGCACACGAGGCCGGTCTCGATGATCGCGGGCGCGCAGCACGCCGCGTCGCCGCACGCCGAGTCGCAGGAGCCGCAGTGGGGCGCGCAGCAGGCGCGCACGTCGCCGGGCGCGCTCATGAGGCCCGTCTCGCAGACCGCCGGCTCGGCCTGCTTCTTCGCGTCGCCCCGCTTCTTCTCGTCCTTCTTCTTGTCGGCCTTTTTTTCCTTCTTGTTTTTTTTGCCCTTCTTCTTGTCGGCCTTGGGCGCCTTGGCCTTCTTCGGCAGGCTCGCCGTGAAGTTGAACTCCTCGGCGTACTGGGCGTCGTCGTCGCGCGACAGGAGCAGCGGGTGCAGCCGCGCGTCGAGGCTCTCCGCGGCGCGCGCCGCGGACGACGTCCGCAGGAACATGGTGCCGCTCAGCAGCGCCGCGACGACCAGCGCGCAGCGGATCGCGCCGGCGAAGCGCCGGTCGTACCAGGGGTTCCGGAACCGGTGCCGCTTGCGCGCGCGCTCCAGCGACGTCGAGCTGATGTCCAGCGACGACGACAGCATCCTCCCGGGCCGGCGACGCGACGAGGCTGCCCGGACGGCGCGGCTGCCGCTGCGACGCGGCCCTCGAGCGGTGCTGCGTGCGGCGAGCGCAGGATGCCGCCTGCGTCCGTTGGGCTGGCGCGACGACGAAGCACACTGCGCAGTGTGAATTTTTTTGTCGACGATTTTGAGCTGTGCGAACGCGGGGCTGCCACATGTCGACAGAGCAGGGCGAGAGCAGACGTCAAGATCGCCAGCGCAGCAACGCTCGGCCCGGTGTGTGGCAGTGCTCGGCGTCGTCACGTCGTAGCACATCAACGCGTCCGCGGCAGCCTCAGCAGTCAGCTCGCAGCAATCGACACGACAATGGTCCGCCGCGCGCTCGCGCTGCTCCTCGTCGCCGCGCCGGTGCTCGCGCTCGTGCCGCTGCGCGCGCCGGCGCCGCGCCGCGTCGCCGCGCTCCGGGCCGAGGACGAGCCGACGTCCCTCGGCGGCGTCATGGCGAAGCAGCTCTTCGGCGGCTTCAAGGGCGTCATGGACCGCCTGCAGGACGGCGACGCCGCCGGCGGCGCCGACGGCGAGCGGAAGACGGACGTGGCCGCCGGCCGCGAGGCCGCGCGCGCGGCCGGCGCGTCGATCACGGACATCGACTCGCGCGCCCAGGCCGGCGACGTGACCTTCGAGGACTTCCTCAAGGTGGGCCGCACGTTCCGGCAGATGAAGGGCAACATGCCCGGCATGCCCGGCCAGCTCACGCAGAAGCAGATCGACGACACGCTCGAGAAGTTCGACCTCCACGAGAAGATCGTCGAGGCCATGAGCCCCGACGAGAAGGGCGACCCCCAGCTCGTCCTCGACGACCTGAAGAACACGGAGAACCAGCTGCCGCGCATCCAGCGCATCGCCAAGGCGAGCGGCTGCGCGGAGAAGGACGTCGCGCTCTTCTGCGCGGAGTTCGAGGCCATGCGCCAGTCGACGCAGCGCATCGCCGCGGGCGAGGACCCGGACGAGGTCAACGCCGACATCGGCTCCAGCAACCGCGCGCAGCGCCGCGCGGCGAAGAAGGCCCAGAAGAAGCGGCGGTGAGCGGCGACTCGCGCGCGCGCGCGAGAGTAACGGGAAGTGTCGCCCCAGCCGAGGTGTGTGGGCGTGACGCGTTCGGACGACGTCGCGGCCGCGGACACGTGCGCGCCGAGCTAGCGCGCGCGAGGCGTCCGCGTCGGGCACCCCCGAGGCGTCCGGAAGAATTGCCACAAGGAGAGGCCCTCTTGGAGGTGCTGCGCCTCCGCGCGCACCAGCGCCAAGCATAGCAACGCTCTGCGCTTTTCCGCGGCGCGACGCGATGCACTGGCCCGAGGGCTGCGGCGCGACGTTCCAGGACCGCAACACCTGGACCGTGGACCCGGCGCCCCGCGTCGCGCTGCCCGGCCTCCGCGCGCGCGAGATCACGGACGTAGACTACGCGCCGCGTCCCGTCCCCGCGCGCCGCGGCGCACGGCGGCCCGCGCGCGCAGGCGGCGCACCCGTGCTGCGGCGCGTACGGGCTCTTCGCGACGCGCGCGTGGCAGCCGTTCGAGATCCTCGGCGAGCGCGCGCGCGGCGCCCCGGCGGGGCCGCGTCGTTTCCCGTCACGCGCGCCTCGCGCCCTAGGTACGTGGGCGTCGTCAAGGGGCCGGCGGCCGAGGGGTCCTACGTCGTCGCGCTCGAGTCGGACGTGCCGCACGCGGAGTCGCTGTCGCTGGACGCGGCGGACGCGGGCAACGAGCTGCGCTTCGTCAACGACTTCCGGGGCGTCGGCGAGGCGCCGAACGTGAGCTTCCAGCAGGCGACGATCCGCTCCGCGCCCGCGCAGATGCTCGTCGTCACGCGGCCCGTGCCGACGGGCGCGGAGTTCCTCGCGGACTACGGCGAGGGCTACTGGCTCTCGACGCTCGGCTTCGTGCCCGCGGCCGTCGCGCCGGCAGCCTCCCCCGAGGACAGCCTCCCACCCGCGCCGGCGGCGCCGCGGCCCCGCGCGCCGAGCGCGAGCTCCGAGGACGAGGCCGGCGTCACCGCGGGCCTCATGATGGCGGGCCTCCACTCGTCGTCCGACGACGACGACGGCGAACCGGAACGGACGCGCTAAGCATCGGAGCATGCCGCGGGTTAGGCGGTCGGGAGACTCCGCGCGCGCGTCGCGCCGGCCGGGGCCGAGGCGCGCGCGCGTCGCGGGCGGGGGAGCACAGTGGGGGCGAAATCGAAAACGAAAGGGCTCCGTGGTCCTTGCGGTCGCCTACTCGGCGGGCTCCTTGTACTTCTCCTTGGCCTCGTCGTCGAGCTCGCGCCAGAGCTCGCCGAGCTTCTTGCCGATGCCTCCGAACGTCAGGTCCGGGAAGTCCTCCTTGACCTTGGGCCGCATCTCCTTGGAGAAGAGCATGAAGCCCTGCGGCGCGGGGGGTCGCGCGTCGCGCCGAGCGCGCCGGCGCGCGCGCGCGCGCGCGGCGGCGGCGGCGGGGGGGCCTTCGGCGGCGGGACGCGGATCGGGCGCCTTGAGCGGCTTCTTGGGCTTGTCGCTCTTGGACTTGCTCTTCGGGGCATCTTTCTTCGCCATGGTCCTGCGCGGCGCGGGGGGCGGGCTGAGCACGCGCGGGGCGGCGGGCCCTTGGGGGTCCCGAACGCGAAAGCGCGTCTCTCAAGTTTCGGGAGTGCACGCGCCCCGGGGACGCCCCGCGGCGCGGGTGGCTGGGGCCGCGGCGGGGGAGGCGCGGCGGGGCTGCGCGGCCCGAGGGGGGCGCGCGGGCGCGCGCGGCGGCGTCGCGCCTGCTGCTAGTGGCTGTGGCTGGGAGCAAACAGTCTTTGATAGGATTCTGCTTGGCCGTGGAGCGCCGTTAGATATCGACCAAAAGATTCGCAACGTCCGCGCGTGCGGCCGGCGCCCACCCGCATCCCGCGCACGTCGCACGAATGCTGCGTACAACATACAGCCTGCCCGGAGTCCACCCTCGCGCCGAGAGCCGCGAGCCAGTGCGAGCTACAGCACGCAGCTTCCGGGCTTCAGACTGTGACTGCGTCCGGGACCCGGCATCGGGTGCGCCGCGAGAGGCTTCCGGCAGCCCAGGAGAGCCTAGGAGACGTCCTCTTAGCCCTGCTGCCACCTAGGTAGGCCACATCCTCGAGCCTCCAAACGCTGTGAAGCTCGCCTCGTCGTTCAACACGAGTTCAAGCTGACGCCTAAGCTGGTCCGGACGGCGAGGTTCGAGCCGTCGTCCGACTCGCACGGCGCCCTCGCCTGGCGTCTGTGTGTAGCCTCGAGGCGCCCGTCGCCCGTCGCGACACGCGCTCGACGTGCAGGCGCAGCACGACTTGGGCTCGCCGGTGAACGAAAACACCCCAGCGCGCGCCTCGCCGTCCCGCGGCAGCTCGCCGACAAAGCCAACCGCCGGACCCCATGTTCATCTCGCCGCGGAAGCGACGCGCGCGGGCGGCGCAGGCGGCCGAGGCCGTCGGCGCGTCGCCGCTGGCCAAGGCCGCGGCGGCGGCGACGCTGTCGCGCGCGGCGCTCGCGGCGAAGAACGGCGGCGCGGCGGCGCCGGCGGCGTCGAAGCGCGACGGCGCGGCCGCGACGCCGGCGCTCGCGGCGTTCCTCGCCGTGAGCGCGCCGGCGCCCGCGTCGGCCGTCGTCGCGGCGCCCGGTGCGCCCGCGGCGACGCGCGGCGACCTGCCGCGGTTCCGCCGCGCGCGCGACGCGTGCGCGGGCGCAGACGATCGACGCGCGGCGGCGTCGCGGCGGCCCGGCGCGGTCGAGGAGGCCGCGGACGAGGCGGCCATGTTCGCGCGCCTCGCCCTCGAGCGCGACGCGGCCATGCCCGGCGACATGCCGAAGTTCACGACCTTCGAGGCCGCGCTCGACGAGGTCAAGCGCGCCGCCGCCGCCGCCGCCGCGGGCGAGGCGCCGTCGCCGCCGGCCAAGGCGCCCTCGCCGAAGGCGGCCGAGGCGCCCTCGCCGAAGGCGGCCGAGGCGCCCTCGCCGAAGGCGGCCGAGGCGCCCTCGCCGAAGGCGCCGGCGACGCCGACGCCGCCGACGTCGCCGCCGGCGCCGAAGGCCGGCGAGCCGGGCGCGCGCGCGCGGCTCGTCGCGTTCTACGAGGCGCACAACCCGGAGAAGCTCGGCGCCGTCGACGCGACGCTGGCCAAGTACGCGGGCCGCGAGGCCGAGCTCTTCGCGTCGCTCGCGAAGAAGTACGGCGGCGCGGCGCCCGCGGCGTGCGGCGACGGCCCGACGTGCTTCCTCGACCTCGAGCTCGACGGCGCGCGCCTCGGCCGGCTCACGCTGCGGCTCTTCGCGGACAAGACGCCCCGGACGGCGGAGAACTTCCGGCTCCTCTGCCGCGGCGACGCGGGCTACTCGACGGCGACGTGGAAGAAGACGAAGCGCTCCTACGAGGGCACGGCGTTCCACCGCGTCGTCCCGGGCTTCGTGGCCCAGGGCGGCGACTTCACGCGCGGCGACGGCACGGGCGGCGAGTCCGCCTACGCGGGCACGCCGGGCGCCGACGCGCTGGGCAAGTTCGCCGACGAGCCCTGCCGCATGCGCCACGACCGCCGCGGCCTCCTGTCCATGGCCAACAGCGGCGCCGACACGAACGGGTCCCAGTTCTTCGTCACGCTCGCCGCGTGCCGCCACCTCGACGGCAAGCACGTCGTCTTCGGCGAGGTCGTCGGCGGCCTCGACCTCCTCGACAAGTTCGAGGCGGGCACGCCGCCGCCGCCGGAGCGCCGCGTCGTCGTCGCCGCCTGCGGCGAGCTCGACGCGGGGGCCGCGCCCGCCGCGCCCGCGGCCAAAGCGCCGTCGGGCTACCCGCCCATGGCGACCAAGGCGCCGAGCAAGCTGCCCTTCGGCGCGCCCGCGCCCGCCGCCAAAGCGCCGTCGGGCTACCCGCCCATGTCGACCAAGGCGCCGAGCAAGCTGCCCTTCGGCGCGCCCGCGCCCGCCGCCAAAGCGCCGTCGGGCTACCCGCCCATGTCGACCAAGGCGCCGAGCAAGCTGCCCTTCGGCGCGCCCGCGCCTGCCCCAGCGGCCAAGGCGCCGTCGGGCTACCCGCCCATGGCGACCAAGGCGCCGAGCAAGCTGCCCTTCGGCGCGCCCGCGCCCGCGGCCAAGGCGCCGTCCGGCTACCCGCCCATGGCCACGAAGGCGCCGAGCAAGCTGCCCTTCGGCGCGCCCGCGCCCGCGGCCAAGGCGCCGTCCGGCTACCCGCCCATGGCCACGAAGGCGCCGAGCAAGCTGCCCTTCGGCGCGCCCGCGCCCGCGGCCAAGGCGCCGTCCGGCTACCCGCCCATGGCCACGAAGGCGCCGAGCAAGCTGCCCTTCGGCGCGCCCGCCCCGGCGCCGGCGGCTGGCGCGGCGCCGCCGACGACGCCCAACTTCAAGACGCAGTCGCCGAACCAGAACAAGCGGTATTCTTCCGACTCGGAGGGAACCGCCGTCGGCCTGCGGTGGCAGGCGCTTTCCCCGTCGGCGGAGGCGTCGAGCCCGACCGCGACCGCTGGTTCGAGCGCCGGCCCTCCGTCGACCGCGCCGAAGATTCCCTCGCTGGGTTCCGGCGCATCGACGGCGCCGTCGGCTGCGGCACCGGCTTCTGGTTTTAGCTTCGGCGCGCCGTCCGTGCCTCCGGCGTCGGGCGGCTTCAGCTTTGGGGCCTCGCCGGCGTCGGGCGGCTTCAGCTTCGGCGCGGCCAAGGAGTCGCCCGCGGCGCCGGCGTTGAGCTTCGCCGCGCCGACGACGCCCGGCGGGGGCTTCAGCTTCGCGAAGCCGACGGTGCCCGCGTCGGCGTCGCCAGCGAAGGCGGCCGATCCTCCGGCGGCGCCGGCGCCGGCGACCGGCTTTAGCTTTGGGACACCTTCCGCGCCCGGCGGCAGCTTTAGTTTCGCGAAGCCCACGGTGCCGGCGTCGCCGGTCGCGGCGTCGCCGGTCGCGGCATCGCCGGTCGCGGCCGCGCCGGCGCCCGCGGCGCCCGCGTCGCCGGCCGCCGCGCCGGAGCCGACCGCCGGCGACTCCGCGGAGGCGGAGAAGGCGCGCGGCGTCTTCGACGAGCTGGACGAGTCCGGGGCGGGGACCCTGCCCCTGGACCGGTTCGAGGACCTGCTCGACGGCCTCGGCGAGGGCTTCTACGGCGACGAGCTCGAGGTGCAGCGGTCGCGCGTGGATCCGACGGGCTCCGGGCAGGTGACGCGGGAGTCGTTCGCTCGGTTCTACGTGAACCTGTCGACGGGCGACGAGGACGACGACGACGACCTCGAGGAGGAGCTCGCGGAGGAGCGGGAGAACGCGCGCGAGGCCTTCGAGGGCCTGGCGAGCGGCGCGGAGTCGCTGCCGGCGAGCCAATTCCAGCCGCTGATGGAGGCCCTGGGGACGACGTACTGCGAGGAGGAGCACCGGCGGACGCTGAAGCGCCTGGCCGTGGGAGGCGTCGTGGAGAAGGGCACGTTCATCGAGTGGTACGCCCAGTGGGTGTGCGGCGACGGCGAGGACGAGGACGAGGAGGACGACGCGTCGGACGCGACGGGCGAGGCCGTGAGTCCCGAGGAGGAGGCGGCGGCGGCGGCGACGTGGGCGAAGCTGAGCTCGAACCAGTCCGGCTGGAAGTGCTCGGTGTGCGCGGTGCGGAACGCCGCGGACGCGGCGAAGTGCGTGGCCTGCGAGACGCCCAACCCGGACGCGCCGGCGGCTCCCGCGGCGAGCCCGGCTCCCGCGGCGGCGAGCGGGTCGATCGGTTCGGGCGGCTTCAGCTTCGGCGGCGGCGGCTTCGGCGTGGGCGCGGCGCCGGCGCCGGCGGCCGAGGGCGGCTTCAGCTTCGGCGCTCCGGCGGCGCCGGCGGCGCCGGCGGCCGGCGGCTTTAGCTTCGGGGCGCCTCCCGCGGAGGCGGCTTTGTCTCCCGCGCTGTCGGCCGCGGCGCCGGCGTCCGGCTTTAGCTTTGGTGCTCCTGCTTCGCCGCCTGCTGCTGGGGGCTTTAGCTTCGGCGCTCCTCCCGCGGCGGCCGCTTCCCCCGCGGCGGCGGCGTCTCCCGCGGCGGCGGCGTCTCCCGCGGCGGCGGCGTCTCCTGCCGCGCCGCCGGGCGGCTTTAGCTTCGGCGCGCCGTCCGTGCCTCCGGCGTCGGGCGGCTTCAGCTTCGGGGCCTCGCCGGCGTCGGGCAGTCTCAGCTTCGGCGCGGCCAAAGAGTCGCCCGCGGCGCCGGCGTTGAGCTTCGGCACGCCGACGACGCCCGGCGGGGGCTTCAGCTTCGCGAAGCCGACGGTGCCCGCGTCCGCGTCGCCCGTCGCGCCGGCGGAGTCGCCAGCACCGGCCCCGGCGACCGGTTTCAGCTTTGGGACGCCTTCCGCTCCCGGCGGCGGCTTTAGTTTCGCGAAGCCCACGGTGCCGGCGTCGCCGGTCGCGGCGTCGCCGCCGTCTGCGTCGCCGGTCGCGGCATCGCCGGTCGCGGCCGCGCCGGCGCCCGCGGCGCCCGCGTCGCCGGCCGCCGCGCCGGAGCCGACCGCCGGCGACTCCGCGGAGGCGGAGAAGGCGCGCGGCGTCTTCGACGAGCTGGACGAGTCCGGGGCGGGGACCCTGCCCCTGGACCGGTTCGAGGACCTGCTCGACGGCCTCGGCGAGGGCTTCTACGGCGACGAGCTCGAGGTGCAGCGGTCGCGCGTGGATCCGACGGGCTCCGGTCAGGTGACGCGGGAGTCGTTCGCTCGGTTCTACGTGAACCTGTCGACGGGCGACGAGGACGACGACGACGACCTCGAGGAGGAGCTCGCGGAGGAGCGGGAGAACGCGCGCGAGGCCTTCGAGGGCCTGTCGAGCGGCGCGGAGTCGCTGCCGGCGAGCCAGTTCCAGCCGCTGATGGAGGCCCTGGGGACGACGTACTGCGAGGAGGAGCACCGACGGACGCTGAAGCGCCTGGCCGTGGGCGGCGTCGTGGAGAAGGGCGCGTTCATCGAGTGGTACGCCCAGTGGGTGTGCGGCGACGGCGAGGACGAGGACGAGGAGGACGACGCGTCGGACGCGACGGGCGAGGCCGTGAGTCCCGAGGAGGAGGCGGCGGCGGCGGCGACGTGGGCGAAGCTGAGCTCGAATCAGTCCGGCTGGAAGTGCTCGGTGTGCGCGGTGCGGAACGCCGCGGACGCGGCGAAGTGCGTGGCCTGCGAGACGCCCAACCCGGACGCGCCGGCGGCTCCCGCGGCGAGCCCGGCTCCCGCGGCGGACCA